ACCTCGGGATCAAGGCCAGGTATCTCGGCGGCACTCCAGGCGAAGAGGTCGGCGTTCTCACGGAGGCAAGCCTTCAGCTGCTTCCTCGCCAAGTTGGGCAATCCTACTCCAATCTTCACGCTCCTGGTCGCATCTTTGCTGAAGACTACTATCTCGAAGTCCCCGTCTGGAATGGGGCGTGTTGGACGGAAGGGTTGCCCATTGACCGTTGGAGGAGCGTGCTTGGCTTTGTCCTCGTGGTACTGTTCGCCGGGGAAGCGGTAGTCGAGGTCCACGGCGTCGACGTGGTCCTTTGGCCTGTTCTCCTGGACGGGAGGAGGCTTGGTCGCTTTGGTAGGGGGACAGGTCGTGCTAAGGCCCTTCATTGCTGCCTCGAAACACCTCCGGGTTGCTTCTATGTCCTCGTTGAGGGTGACGACGGCTCCCAGCCTGGTATAGTACTTCATCTTTACGTGGACTGTCGATGGCACCGCGGTGAGCTCTGTCAGCGTCGTCCTGCCTAAGATGCAGTTGTATAGGGATGGGAACTCAATGACCAGGAAGCGTACGTTGATTTCCCTGGCCGTCTCCTGTGCCCCAAAAGTGACTTTGAGCTCCACGCATCCCCACGGTCTCGTCGTCATCCCATTGAACCTCTGGAGGTCGGAGCCGAAATAGGAGGGGTCAGGTTGGTCTCGTCGAGCTGTGGCATCGAGAATAGGCGGGTATACATGATATCCACCGAACTTCCTTCGTCAACCAGGATGCGACAGACTTCGAAGATTGTCATTTGTGCCCGGATCAGCAGGGGAATGGCGGAGTTAGGGGCTCCTCCAGGCAGCTCTTCGAGATAATACGTGATCGGGTTAGACCGACCGTGGAATTTGTCAAGCGTGCTCATTTTTTCGGAGTTGTTGCTCATTAGATCGTCAAACTTCCTCTTCGCAGACCTGATGGAGAGCTTGTTCGGGGCCCCGCCTGAGATGACCATCGTAGTAGGGAAGTATTCCCACGGGATGATGGGGCGTATTGGCTCTTCGGGCAGCGGGTGTCTGGTAGGGAGACTGTGTTCTCTCAGGGAGAACCAGTCCTTAGGTCGACTGATGTTGAGGGCCACCTGCAACCCGGATTCGTTGGAGGGAGGACGGATGTCCTCGACCCTTTTGGCTTCGTGGGCCTCTTGTCGAGGGGAATCTCCTCCCCTGATGTATCTCTTCAAGTGTCCATCCTTGATGAGTATTTCGATTGCGTCTTTTAGGTGGATGCAATCCTCCGTGACGTGCACGTGGCCCCGGTGGAAGCGGCAGTATTTGGACTTGTCCATGTTGGCCTTGGGGGTGCCGGTTTGGGAAAACGGACACCTCCCCGGACGAACTCCGAGTTGGCGCACTTAGCCAGTATGCGCTCGCGGGAAGCGACTAGGGTTGTGTATTTGGTGAGGCGGCCTGCGAGGCCCTTCTGCTCTCGGGGCACTCGGGGACGATCATCTCGTCGTCGGTCTCCCCCATGCCGGGGGGCTGGAGATCCCTCTTCTCGGGATCCGCAGGGGGGTGGTTGGTCGGTGGATTGCCACGGCCTCGTAGAATTTGGAGTTGCGGCATAGGCCCTGATCCATGAGGTAACGCTTCATGTCGTCTGAAGTCGTTATGTGGACCGCCTACCTCGTGAATCTCTCGATGTAGTTCCTGAGAGGCTCGTTCGAGGCTTGGATAATCGCGCCCAGGGAGGCCTCCGTCTTCGGATGGCGTCGGGAGGCTGTGAAATGTTGCGAGAAGAGATCCTTCAGGACCCTCCACGACGTGATGGACTCAGGCTTCAGGCTTTTGTACCAAGTCATGGCTCTCTTCCTTAACGTCGTCGGGAAGAGTTTGCACTTGATGGCTCCTCGGACGTTCCGGTAGTCGAGCATGGCCTCGATATCTTCTAGTTGGTCGTCCGGGTCTGAGGTATTGTCGTACGTGGAGAGTAAGAGTGGCATCTCCATCCCATGGGGGATGGGGGTTGCCATGATCTCCCGCGAAAGGGGGGTCCTGTAATCGTCCTCGTCACTGCAAATTGGGGAGCGCGAGGGCGAAGGATTGTGCCGAGGGGCTTGATTGCATCCCCTCGACCTCTTTCCCGGGGCTTCCGGTCTGTTCGCTCTTGGGACCGGGGAATGCCTCTCATTCTGGGGAGGTGATCAGACGCGCTTCTTAGAGGCCATCGGTTGGGGCCTCTCCAGGTTTGGCTGGCGCCCTCGTTGACGGGGAGGGGGGCTCCGGGAGTCTTCGCGTTGATTTCTCCGCGGGGGAGAGCGAGACGAGATATCTTGTTCCAGCATGCCGATGCACTCGTTCTGTTGGAACAACATCAAATTGGTTTGGTTGATGGCTGCGAAGAGGGCAGTCACCGTTGGGTCCGCACCAGCTGGTGTGGGAACGGCCTGGAAAATAGTCGGGCTCCTTGCTCGAGGTGCAATGTGATGTGCTGCGTCCTCGGACAAAGGGGAGGCAGTGCGTCTGTCCCTCACGTCACCCTCACGAACGTGGGATGGCCCAGCCTGGTCGTCGTCGTTGGTGATTGGGGTGAAAGCGGAATTGTGGACAACATCATCGTGACCTGGGTTAGTCATAATCTCGAAAGTTGAAGTTGAAAGCTTTGGTTCTTCTGCTCGGAGGAACGGGGAAGCTTTATTTTCCCACAGACGGCGCCACTAATCGTACCTGATCAGATAGATCGCATGGCTGCCACACGTCTGAGCTGTCAAACTGTTGACTTGACGGACAGAGGGGTGTACCTGAAACACACTCAGATGCCAAAGTAAGGGACGAGCAGAGTGAAACAAGTACAAAGAGAAAGGAGTAAGAGTTAGATTACATGACCCTCTAATGGAATATGATATTTATAATGAGCCCCCAGCGCGGTGCCAACGGTTACTATGCGTTGGGCTGGGCTGTCAGACCCAACGTTGGTAACTGTTAGGGCTGACGTGGCGTCGTGAAGACCAGCACATGGTCTTCGCCCTAGTGTAATTGTTCTGTGTTATCCAAGAGGAGGAGGACCGAATAATCAGGACACGGATTGTTACCTGATAACGTGTTTTCGCGTAGGAGACACGTTGAGAACGTGGGGGAGGTCCGATGAGCTTCTCAAGCTGGATGGGTTATGCCCGACCGTAGGGCAGAAGAAAGGCGAGTCGGACAACTATGAGGATCTTGCTCGACTGCCGTTGGTTCGTGTCCGATGGGAGAAGATTTTCTGCCCGACAGGTCTCTGCCCGACGATGAGGTTTTATTAGGCCTTCCAACCTGGTGGGATTTGGGCCTGCTCGACTATGAGTCAAGCGTCAGCCCAGTCCAAAACATTTTAATGATAAATACTTGCCTGAATAATTTAGAATAAACATTTACTAATTTATTTATTTTAAATAACATACAAATAAACATTTACTGATTTTATGTAATACGGAAATTTAAAAACTAAATTAATAAAATATAAATCTTAAATATAATTAATCAAATATAAATAAATAAATTAAGAATTTAATTGAATTAATGTTAAATTAATTGATTATTATATATTTTGAATTAATTAAATACTTTAAAAAATAATTGATTATTTAATTTGAATTAAATAAATAATTTAATAAGCAATTGAATTACTATTAAATTAATTGATTATTATTTAATTTGAATTAACCAAATACTTCTAAAATTTAATTGATTATTTAATTTGAATTTATTAAATATTTTAATAATTAATTGAATTACTATTAAATTAATTAATTATTATTTAAATTGAATTTATTTAAAATATGTAATATTTATTTGTGTACTATTTGAAATAAGTAAATAATTAAATGTTTATTCTGAATTATTAAGTTAAGTATTCATCATTAGAAATATTAACATAAATTAATTGGTATAGTTGTAGTTTTAAATTCAGAATTGTTTAATATGATTGGAATCATACCAATGTAGATTGGCCTATTTAAAACTTAATATTTTTAATTTATTATTCTTTTATTTTATTTTAATGATAATTGAAATAAATCAATATTAAAATAATTTGATAAAATCATTATTCTCTCTTTTAATTAATAATTTTTTAAAGTGTCAAATAGTAAAATGATATTTATTTCAGGACTGAAGTTATTTATCATTTTCACCAACTTAGTTAAAGATGACAATCGGACATGTAAATTAAATTAAAAATAATAATTAAATTAAATTTTTAATTTTTAATTTTAAAAAAATTTAAAATAAAATTTTTAAAATAAAATAAAATAAAAAAGGGAACATAGTTTAGAATGCAGGATTGAATCGCCCTGCAAAATATGAAGGCGGAGCCGGCAACAGGCTTGATAATATCCGCGCTACAAATGTCCGCCAGGCTTGATATCCGCACTACAAATGTTCAAAAAAAAATAGAGTAGGATAGACGTACCAAAGAATGTGAGACAAAAAACCCCAAGTCAACTCTAAAAAAAAGCGGGCTACACAGTGCGATGGATCCGTTTTTCACCCCTAATCCCAGCTGTGTTTTGAATTAGCTAGTCTATCCAAAGTGAATTGTATGCTCAAATCGTAAAAGGCATTAGACTGAATATATAGACATCAATGCACTAAACAATATCAAACCTAACTTTATAGTCACGCCACATTGATGTAAAGAGAAGGTTGTTTTTACCACATTCAACAACAATGACAGAGCCTTGTCTCACATGTTGACTACAATGATCAAACAATGCCGTCACTAGTTAATTGACAACTTTGATATTAATCAGACAATAACAACCCTAACATTGATAAATGTTAAATTTAGACAATAACAACCAGAACATTGATAAATGATGACAAGTTTGCAGCTCCCAACAATCATCATCCATGACCAAATGTACAATGCAGGAGAGAAGAATGCATCTATTTCTACATTAATATATACAAATGGATTGCGTGGAATATAATATACAAAAACATGATTGTATTTTCTACTACATATTCCAACAAGACAAATGTTGGCCTACAGACAGAACCTAATTCTTACTGCTCACTCTCATTGTCGTCATCATTTTCTGTCTCCAAATCAAATCCGAAACCAGCATCATCTTCATACAAGTTCGGATCCAAACAGACAACATTACAATCATTCTTCTGTGTAGTATTTCTCGTAACTTGGGATGCAATGAAACCATCCTTTGAGCCTTCATCAATTCTCTGTTTTTTATGCGGAGGAAAAGTGCTTGCAAGGGCATCACTAGACCCAGAAGGCTCCGATAATGAATGATTTTGCTTATCATGGGGTAATGGAAGTGTTTCCGACGCTGCCAAAGTACTACCTAATTTCTGTTGTTCCTCTATGATCTTCTGCAAGTATTTACCCTGAGCTTCAATTCTCATCTGTAATTGCTTTTGAACCTGAAATATCAATGAAGCAAATGCAAGGCTTTATCATTGCCAGAAAAGCTCACTCATAGAAGTACAATACTTTGAAATTTAACAAACACTGTATTTATCTTATTTAAATCTTGAGAGTCTGAGGCAAATTAGGAGCTAATTATTATTCCTCACCATCAGAAGGCTTATTTAATACTAGTAGCTATAAGTTATGGGTTTATCAAGCTCACAAGATGCATATGACTCTCAAATCAAACAAAGCCCGTGCTTGAAAGAATTAAATAAAAACCAAAGGCAAAAAAATATTCACCACTGGCTTCTGTTTAATTCAAATGTAGTTTTGTATAAATAAAAAGGCTTGAAAAGAAATTGAACTTGAAATTAATAGTTGAACCATTAATGTGATGATCTATGAAGCACGGACTCCGACACGGACACCAGGACACGACACGACACTAACACTTCGACACCAATAATGTCAAAAACATTGAACAACACCACCGCCACATGTATAATAGTATTTGAACTTCATTTATTCATCCATTATTAAAAGAGTTAAAAATAATTTAATCAAAACTAATATCTTTAATTCTTCATTGATATTATTGTTTCAAGAATCGTGTGGTATTTGTTCAAAAAATGTAGAGTGTGAAACAAAGTAAAAAAAACAAATTCTTTTTGAAAGAAAAAAACACCACATGTCGAATGAGTGTCAAACACCAATTTAAAATGTCGAAGCAAAGAAAAAACAATTTTTGTGCGGCACTTGTCTAACTTCGCCAACACTTGACTGACTTTTCTGACACGTGTCGTACAGGTGTCATACAAGTGTCGGGCACCGCAACTTATATGACACCTATTTGGCACCGCAACTTCATAGGTAATGATTTGTCCAGTAAAAAAACTTCATTTAGAGCTTGCTCCACAAATCATGCAATACTCAAAAAATAAGTAAAAAAACCATGGTAATAACAATAAAAAATGGAAACCAGTATTAAAAGATAGTCCACCCAAAAAAATATTTCTATCAAGATATTTTCATATCTTCTAACAATCACAATAACTAATGAAATCAGATGTATGATTTGTGGAGCAAGCTCTAAACAAAGAGGAATGATGTGTGTGTGTGTGTGTGTGTACAAGCATTAGGGGTTTAAAAGATAAGGAATGATTTGTGTGTAAGCATTAGGGATTTAGAAGATTACAAAAAGCATAATTGCTTATCATCGCCAGCTAATATTCTTCCCTATCTCCAGTTTTTCACTTGGTATGCATCACCATTGCTTTTGTTTTTGGTATTGTAACATATAACTTTTCTAAACCTCTTACCCATGGACAAGAAGGAAGAGTATTTGTGAGCAAAACTAGAACTCACTTTCAGCAATTATAAAAAATAGTATAGTTAGGTAACAAACCTCAAGCTGTTCATGCAAACGTTTTTGAACCTCCATCTGCATCCGTAGTGCGTCATTGATTTGCAATCCCCTGCAGACAGTGATGGTTTATTAAAATGTTAAAATTAGACGTAGAGACATCAAAGTGAAGGAGTGAGAAATTATCTTCAGTAAAAAAACTAAGACACGCACGGGGAAGAATCAGCGCCAGAAATGCTGTCTCCAGAATTCCTTTTCTCATCCTTAGAATCTGACCGTTCAAAAAAGAAGTACCAGAGTCAATTGAAAATGTGAAATCAAAACAGTACGACGTTTCTGATAAATATGTAGGAACTATGAAGAGCAAGAAAAAACAAGGCACCTTTACCATCAGCTGGTGATTCGGGCAAGTACTTCGCCAGGCGATACTTCTACATGCAGTGATATCAGAAAATAATTAGAATCAATGTCCAATTTATAAAACAATTTATACATATACACCAAAATTATTAGACCAGATAATGATACCTGTAAATGGCTCTTAACATGATAAATGGTCAGACCAGGTACACCCATCACTCTAAGAACACCTTTTGGTGTTGCTCCTGTCGTGAATAGTTTAAAATTAAAAAGATCTAGGAAATTAACTAAACTCTAGTAGATCGTCGAATAAAAACAACAACAAAGTAAGAAAAGTAGTGGCCTTTTCCAACAATACATATATTTCAAATAGGACCAGCCATTAAAATATTAAAAAAGGTGCTTCTTACTATTACCCAGAGAAAACTAGTTACCGAAACAAAAATTGGAAAATCTGAATTCAAAAGCATGTCATTCATGCATAAGTAAGATGAAGGAGACAGATTTAATTAAGTTCTTTAAAGGACATGCTTTCCATCATTATGAAGGTATTAAAAGGTGAATTGAATTTCATGGCAAAATAAAACTTCCAAGTCATCTCACATAGGGTTACTAGTGTTTTCGGTCCCTGCAGTATTTTATTTTTGAATTCATCTCTAATATTTAAGATTCTCCAACTTTTAGTCCTTGTTGGAATCTGGCTTTCGTGAAACACTGATGTTGCATTATTAATGAAATATGGCTTTTTATCGATTATTTAATCGGTAAAATGAATTTTGAAAATAACATAATATGAATTTATACACCCTCCAGTCATTCTCCAATCACTATTATAAGCAAATTTGACTTTTTTATTTTCATTCAACAGTTGATGTATCAAGTCTCTATATACTCCAGATACATCAATTATTGAATCAACCAAAAAAGTGAAATTGGCTTATAATAGTGACCCGAGGGTGTATTAAAACAAACCAACTTAAACAAAGCCCCTTCTCCCTTTCATAAACCGAAAGCTAAATCTAGAACAACAACCCAACAAGCTTTACTCTGTTAATTTACCTTCAAGTTTCTTACATAAGAATCTTTCTTTGTTCCTTCACACTCAATGGCCGTCTCTAGATAAAAGCATAGAAAGCTCATCATCTACTAGACCACAAAACCTTCTTTCACGAGTATCACACTCAAACGTGATAGACATAAACAAAAAAAATCCATCAGAGCGGAATCAATAAACTAATCAAAAAAAGAAACCGATTCAAATCACCACTCGACAGCAGTGACGCAACAAAAGTTGGTCTTGCATAGAATTTCCCGTCAAATCTTGATCCCCAAACTGCTTCTTCATAATTTGAGGGATCAGACCAAGTCAATCTGTGTATCTTAAGAACAAATCCTAATATTTCTCACTTTTCGTCACATTATCGGGACTCAGCTTCTCGCCTTTCTACAGATTTGATCCAGTCCGGAGTGAGTTGCAAGCGCGTAAGTTAGATCGTAGCGGATACAACTTCAATATGGCAAAATAGGGCTCACAAACTCTTCACTTTGATTTGGTTTTTTAGATGAATTTTTAGTTATTTTTAAAAATCATTTTGTTGACCAAGTAATTACAAAATGTCACATTTCATTAATAATGACAGATCAGCATATGAATCAATGTTTCTAGAGAAAAGTCGGATTCTAACAAGGACTAAAAGTGGGAAAATCTTATTTATATGGACGAAATTAAAAATAAATAAAAAAAAATCCAAGGACTAAAACGATTACTTTTAAAAAGTAGCATTAACTCTTAAATTTAATGGCCACGCTAAATTGAACTTGATCCATACTACAGTCAAACATGGTATCTAAATTGGTGCACAGCTCAAAGTCAAACCTTGGAATGCAAGTAACAAAAATGCACAACTACTCAAATAATTACAGCCCTAGAGTTATAAATTGTTCATAGCTTTCAACAAAACAAAATAACCACCCTTTATCTAGTTAGACTAATGACACTTACACGCTGCACAACTTCTGTGAAAATGGGATTACCCAATTCATGTAAAGCATTATCTTTTTCATATGTCTTATCAAATTGCAAGACTAAGATAAATTCCCAAAGGCATTGTTTGGAAGGGGAGGGGAAGAGAGGGTTTTAGATACCTTGTTTGGGAAGTTTTTACAAAAGAGGGATAGGCTTTAGACTTTAGAAAATTTTCAAAACCCTCCAAAGTCTTACTACCTCTTGTCAATATTTTGAGATTCATTCGATAACTAATGTTTCAGGTCTATATTGTGTCCAGATACACTGCGTATTCAATGAATCTAAATCTAAAAAGCAAACTTTTTCTTATAAATAGAAAAAGAGGGAGTATTTTTGTGTTTCCTATCCGTTCTCCCAAAAGGTTTACTCTTCCAAACAAGGTGAACAATTACTCTCCCATCTCAGTCACCTTCCCTCAACTATCTCACTAACTACTAAACATAGCAAAAAAGAATCATTTTACACCCAATAGCGCATATGCACTAATCTCAATACTGAAAAGAAATACCCACTATCTGGTCCACCAAGTTGTGTAATGGCATCCACAAAACGGTCATGAAGATCCGACGTCCAGCGCAAACGTTGCTTCCCACCTCCCCCAGCAGGTGCAGCATCTTTCACAACAGATCCACTCAAACCCCCAACATTCGCAATTTGTTCACCTCCACCTTGAGACTTATGAGGCATCATATTTGCCTCCGGAAACTTCTTTGCATGAAACATACCCACACTGAACAACAATCCACAACAACAAAAGAAATATAATTTATGCTAAATTTCTCAAAAAATAAAAAATTATAATCATCAAATTAGATCCAATTCAAAAAAGGAAATTTACCTGAAAGAAGGTTAAAATTGAAGGAAGGAATCCGAACGCTAGGTTCGGAATCGAAGCATTCAGAATCCAAAACCAGGTTCGGAATTGGATTATCGAGGATCGAAAACGAGGAATTGGATTAATTAACAGAAAATCAAAAGCTGTGACCTAGAGTGGATAAATCTTGTATCGAATTTTCGGGGAATCTGAGAGAGGGAAAATAGGGTTTTCTCGGGAAAATGTGTAGAGATTGGAGATTAGTGGTGGTGGTGGTGTCTGTGCGGAAGAAACAGAGTCTTTGGGGAAATGATTGGATTTTAGAGTGAGAGAGAAGCTCAGCGTTGAAATGAACGGACGGCGGCGTTTTAATTGGGAGTTGTCGTTAACTGGTGGTGGGTCCCACGCGCATGTCACGTGTCGCTGCTCTTTTTTGGGTTATTATTTGTCGTCGTTTTCATGTCACGACGAATGCCGTTTAGCGGTCTTCAAGGCTCAAAGATTCTAACCAATGCTGTGGAGAATCTTTTCCAATTTTTTTTTTTTATAATATTTAAATTAGAATGATACATTGTTTTTTTTTTTTGAAACTCATTTTCCTTTTTGTCAAGGCTTTTAGGCTTATGGTTGTTCAGGTGGCATTTGGATGTTGAAGAATATGAGTTGTATTTATGATTTTAATGTGAAAGATGTTTACTTCGAACTAGTTACAATATGCATCAATAGTAGTGGAGTTGTCTCATTCTACTTCAACAAAAGATTTCTCAAATGATTGGATTTCATTGAAGTATTTTTCCCTCTAAGGTGAAGGGAGGAAACATTGTCGCAAGATGAGATGTAAATTTTCTGATATAATGGAGTGGTGTAATCTTATACACTTAATTTTATACACTTTGTCGTAAAATGTAGTGACTACACTTGGATTCATAAGGATTGAGGTAAATATGTAATTTATTGTTTTAGAAAGATTAGATTTGATTTAAAAATATTAGATTAGATATTTTTAGTATTTTATAATTTGGGCTTTAACTTTAGATACAAGTTAACATAAATCTATAAATAGAGAGGAATCATTATCATTGTAATAATCAAGTTTGTAATTATGGTTTTGCAGTTGCAAAGTGATAATAAAATTTTACAGTTGTGGGTGTTGCACCTCAAAAAACCGTTCGAACGCATGATCCTCGCACTAAGGGCGTGGAATGCGGTTCGACAGAGTCGCCACCGAACTTTATTTATCCCGAATAGATGGGAATAGAAAATATCGAGAAAACCTCTTAAAAAAGGACAAGAACAAATTCGTCGCAACCAATGTTCTGGGTTCGGGAGTCGATTACGCAAGGAGAAGGTATTAGCACCCCTCACGTCCGCTGTACTCAACGAAAACCTCTTAGTACGATTTGCGATGGGTGTTATCTAAGCTTGCTTGTTTCCTTCTCAATGATGAATGTGAATTGGTAGGATAAAAGGGTAAAAACGCTAAGGAAAAATGGATGGTTATAGGAATAGGGTACTCGCCAAGGATTTGGGCTCTTGTGCCTACGTATGCTCATTCGAACGAGAATGAGAAATCAGAGTTGTCGTAGTTCGACTACGGGAAAAGTTAGGGGGAAACTGAAGATGGGTAGAAGGTAACTCGTCAAGATCATTGCAACCTTGTGCCTACGTATCTTACATTCAAACTAGAATGAAGAATCAGAGCATCCGTAGTTCGTGGAGACGACCACGGAAAAAGAAGGGTTGAAGTGTCGAAGTTTGGTTGAGAAACGAAAGATTGATTGACAAACAACCCAAAGGGTGTGCCTCGAGAGCTGTCACTCAAGAATTCAAGGAATGTGAGATTCCAAGAACTCAGTTCTTTCGGAAGTTAATTGAAAATGTTTAAAAGAGGTTGATTGTTTTGAATTTGAAAGATTGAATGAATAACAACCCAAGGGTGTGTCTCGAGCTAAATATTCGAAGACTCGAGGAATGCTAGACTCCAAGAATTTCCTTCTTTCGCAAGTTTGATTATGAAAATGTTTGAATAAGAATTAGGTGTTTTAAGACGAAAGAATGAATGAACGACAACCCAAAGAATGCCCCTCAAAAGCCATTCATTTGAAGATCCAAGAAATGTTAGACTCCAAGAATCTTCTTCTTTCGTTAATTGTTAAGAAAATATGTTTGGATAAAAGATTGAACCGAATTAGTTGCGAAAAGAGGTGGACTGCACGGCAAAAGGCACTTGGCTTACAACTTGGCTAAAAATACTGCTTGACGTTGGATCAAGGGTTTGATTTCACTTGCGTGCAAAGACGTGGTGAAATGGAAGTTGGTTTGAAAATGGCTTGACGGCGAGTCGAGGATTTGGTTGAAAATGGAATCGGCTTGACGACGAATCAAGGGTTAAGTAGTGAGAAACAATATTAGTCCATAAGGGTGCTCTTAATTATGTAACCACGATGAAAATGTAAAAGTGTGTGTGATAGGTTGATGGCGAACGCGTACGAGTACTCAACTTACGGAGGGTGTTTGAAAATGGCTCGATTATGAATCGAGAATTAGTTTGAAAACGGTTTAGTCTATGCTAGTCCCTAAGGATGCTCCTAGAAGATAAACCACAGTCAAAGAAATACGAACGCGTATATCGAAATGGGAGAGAGATACATGTAAGTTACACGGGATTGCACGAAATAAAAGGTCTCGTTGTAAGGTAGCTCAAGAGGAAGACGTGTGTGTGCGAGGTGTCCTAAATTATGCCTTGAACAAAAGTCGAACAAAACTCCAAGCTAGGGTTTCTGACAAAGTCTAATAATCGGTTGCTCAGACAAATAACCAACAGTACAACAACTTAGGATTTTAGGTTTTGATCGTTTATTATGTGTTTTAAAAAGAATGTGAATAAGAGATGAACAAGATAAATATGAATAATTATGAATAATATGGTAAGATATATAACAATATAATCAAGATAATATTCACAATAGTATAATCAAGATAATATTAACGAGTATATGAACAAGATAATATAAATCAAGATATAATGACTGAAATTAAAACAAGAGTATATTGACTAAAAGTAAAGCAATAATATATTGACGGAAAATAAATCAAGAATATATTGACAATAATTAAATTTAGTCGTTAGTTTGAATTGAATCGAGACGAAATGTAGCGTTAAACCGTCGTAGCTCGATCTATGACGAAGATCAAGCTATAGGAGGTCGCACAAATTGATATTTGTGCTAAAAACACGATGGAGAAATGATATTGGGGATCATTTTCCAATGTAATCGTGTCACACTGACAGAAAGGTGACAATCTCATCTTAATCACAAACTCGTGTTAATTAACTGAAGGTAACATATCACGATCCCAAAGTATAGAAAACAATCTCAATGATCATTTTCTACATATTTAAAATAATGAAGGTTAACAACCCCAATCAATCAACATTTGTGAATATAAAGACTTCACCGATTGAAATGAAATGAGAATGAAAATAGAAGAAGATCTAGAATAAAAAGAGAATGGAAGTTGAAATGAAACGGGTCTCATCTTAATTAAAATTAATCGATAATCTATATTAGATTTTTCATTGACCAAAGTTGAAATTGAAAGAAAAAAAAACGAAAAAAGAAATGAAAATCTCAACCAAAATGAGAAGTGGAAAACAATGAGAAATAAAATCGAAATTAAAGGAAATCATCAAAATAAATAAAAAAATAAAAAGATTTATGGACATTAGTTTAAATTGGATAAACAAAAAGATAATGGGATAAGTGGATAACTAGAAATGGTTTTTTTGTTTTTTAATATCAAAAGGGGATATGGACATGGGTAGTTGGATCCAATATTATGGATAATGGACCTGAAATGGATCTTCAACTTAAAAACACAGATGCACATCTTGATGGAACTTAATCCATTACTATACTCCAACCATTTGGACCTTCAGATGAATCAGGACTTTGAAACGATGAAATGAACCAAACATGTGAATTGCACTGTGATTGCATACAAAACCCTGATTTGCAAGGAGCAAATTCTGTATGATTCTTTAGCATGACACATATGAATTACAGCCTGATCACATGATCCACTAACAACCTGAATCCACACAAAAACCCTAACTGGAACTCTAGGATCATATTGCTCAAATCATGCATATCCTGCTCTTACCACAAACTCTTGTCTGATCAGAATTAGGACCCACTAGATGAACCTCAATCAATACTGATCACACACCTGACTGAATATCTTGAATTCAATCTTGCACAAACTTGAGCAACTAGCAGAAGCAACACTTTTTTTTGGATTTTCTGAATAATAGTTGGTGGATAGATGTACAGATGAAAATCATATATGCAAGCAAGACAAATTTGGGGTATGACAGATGCCCCTATCTAATTGGCTTAGATCGAGTAAGATGAACTGCTACAGTGTTCATTCTTTCGAGGTTTAAGATAATTAGATATGAAGAAAACCCTGAATTTGTCTGAAAAGAAAGAGAATGCTTGGGAAGTGAAATAATAAATCAATGTCTACCCTCGAGTAGACACTGAGTAACTTGGAAAAGTCATTATCATCATGTCGCACCTTGAAAAATCGTTCAAAAACACGACCCTCGCGCTAAAGGCGAGGAAGTGCGATTCGACAGAGTCACCACCAAACTTTATTCATCCCGAAGAGACGGGAAAGGAAAATGTTGAGAAAATATTTTAAAACGAAAGGACAGGAACACAGTCGTCGCAACTGATGTTCCGGGTTCGAGAGTTGGTTACACAAGGAGAAGGTATTATCACCTCTCACGTCTGTTGTACTCAACGGGAACCTCTTAATTCGAATTGTGATGAACATTAGCTAAGATTAGTTGTTTTCTTCTCAATAATAAATGCAAAATAACACGATAAAAGGATAATGATGC